CTCCGCCGCTTCCTCCGAGTAAATAATTTTTTCGGCCGGAAATCGGGCGTACGCCACCCGCCGCTTCGACCCGGTTATCATCCAAATGAAAACGTCCGGGAGACTGTGCTGAGGCTGGTGAATTTATAAACGACACATCCTGTATCGCGCGGTGAGATGAATTTTCCATGACGGTGCACGAAACTTGGAAGGACACGCGCGCGTTTAAATATTTCACGATTTGCAAGGGAAAGAAGAGGGAGAGGTCAGCGTTTTCGTTGTCTCCTATTCTCCGTGGAAGATCCGTGGAATAAGAAGAAAAAGAAGAGGGGGAGGGGGGATCGGCGAGAAAAGGTAAAAAGTTTTGGAACGAATTTTGTTTCCTTTTTTCCTCCCCTTCCCTTTCCTCGAGAATCAGTTTCTTGCGCGAAATTGAACTAGTTGTCAAAAGGGGGAAAAAAGCTGCAGCTAAGTTTGGACTGTCTCGTTGCAATATTTAAAACTTCCTTTTCGTGAGTCTCTCCTTTTTTGTAATGTAATGAATTTAATACGTCTCTGAAAGGAATTTCTATATAATTCGGAAAATCCTGCTATTGGAGGAGAAAATTCCAGAAAACTATCAAGGTTGAAAGAAAGTATCGATTAAATTTCTTGAATCGAAATCTTTTTTAGAATCTTAATCGCTTTATAAAAAAACAAATATCGTTTCTTTTAAAATTAAACCAAAAAAGAAAGAGACTATCATCCCTATAAGATCGAAATATTTTCTTTTTTTTTTTTTTTTCAAACAATCGCTCATTCGAATTATAAAAAGTTTGCACGTCATAAGAAAACGTAAAGCAAAACGACTCACATCTTCTCGTAGCTTCTTCAGTTTGCCGAGATATTGGTATCCGTGCACCATAGCGATCCTGATGTAATTGTTGTTTGGAAGTTGGCCGTTGATCTCGATCCTCTTCAGAATGTTCTCGATCTCGTTACGGCAGAAATTCACGCGATACCGATCGAGCTTCGTGGTACCGCCCTCGTGATCGTATCGTCTAGTGTCTAACATATCCAAATAGCGGAGGCAATAGTTGTTCAAGTTATGAATCATCGCGTTGTAAAATATGTAAGCATTAGCCCTCTCGAGCGCGACCATGCCTTCCAGTTTCTCCAACTTCTCCTCCTGTCGAGACGAATTAAAATTATACTGGAAATCGCTGTGCCAGTTTCGAAACAAACTTGCTCCCTCTCCGCGATTACACCGTGAGAACCTTGCTCCTGATATATTAAATATTTCTTTCGATTCGGTGTTGGAAACTTTCCGCTCGATCACTTTTTTAACTCCCGTGTTCATAAATTTTCGAAAGTACAAGTGCCACGTGTTTGGCCGTTTCTTTCGGAAAATTGGCCAGTTATCGAGAAATTTTGAATGAAAGTTTTGTCTTTTATCGTTCGACATTGGCTTCGAAGGAAGCGAGGAATTCGTGAAAGTTCAAAAGTTCAAATATGTATCTTACTTAGTCGATTCTATTCTATCATAAAAATTAAAGTCTAGTTAAAATTATTTCGCAATATATTTCGTGGAACCTCTATATTCGTCGCCAAAAAATTTCTTACTTACACTATTTACTTTTTTATTTATTTATTGAACAAAGCTGATCATTTCCTTTCCTCTCTCCTTAATTTTTAATTGGAAAAAATTAATTACATATTCTCTAATTCACTCGTATTTTCAGGAACGGATTAACAAAAGAACATAGAAGTTCCACCGTATTTAATTGTTTGCCAGAGAAGAACAGAATAACGATAAATATTCAAGATTCGCATAATCGATTCTCACCAGGAAATTAGCGATGAAAGTCAAATAATTACTGTTATGCATCCGCCACTCGAGATTCGGCCACCAGGATTTAACGTAGAGGCATGGTTTTCGCGATCCAAGAGGCACATAATTATATTTCCCGTCCAGCGTCCCAGTGTATCGCGGCATGGTCTGACTCTCGAACTCCGGCCTCCGATCCGGCGTCTGGTTTCCTGTCGAGAATTAATCACAATTTACACAGGGGCATCCATGCGCGCTCTCCACGGCAAACTCGTTGAGCGTGTTAATTAACGAGAAATTGGGAGGAGGAATGGAGGACGTGTCTTCGCGTCTGATACGCAAGTTTCGACGAGTAATCGAGTAATCATTTTGTTAACGAAACTTTACCAATTGAGTACCATATATACCTTCCTTGTCGTTGTCGAAGGATTGGCTATGCCCGAATTGTTTGTTGCCCGCGTTCCCGATGCTGATCTCGAAGATTATCGATCTCATCCAAAATCTCTTACGATCGATCATGCTCGCGTCGTACAACACTGCGACCAGATAATATTCTTCCGTTCTCCACAAGCTTTTCTTTGAGAAAAGAGAGAGAGGTCGATGTTAATGATTGCGAATTGGATAAATAAGTAAGGAATTTTAATCAAGTTAATCTCTCGAGATATTTCGAAAGGTTAATTCGAAATGAGTTGATTTTCTTTTTGAATTGAATATTTCTCGAAACAAAGTATTATTTGTGAGGAGAAAAAATTCTCGCAAAATCCCGAACTACGACGGTTTGACATTAAATTGAACGTTATAATGAAAGCAATCTTTCGTTCCGTGTAGAATCACGCGAGGAGATCGTTAAATCGATGAATCGAGATTACGTTGGATTATCTTGTGTATTATTTATGCGCTCGTTCTTTATACACCACACGATATGAAGCGTGCGGTTTTAAAATTAATCTTCATTGGTTTTTTGAACGAATTGATCGGCCCTTTTCTTATATTTTAATTATCATTAGAAATTCGTTTTCTTAAATATGAACTTCAATTCAATTTTTTGTGCACGTAAATTGCACAGAGATATAATTCGTTGCGTCTGACCAGAGACGGTCTGTTTCTATTTAAAACTAACTTCTTGCTTTCGATTTCGTTTGTTAAGCTTCTAAAAAATTTGAAATTTG